ATCTCTATATCATCTTTTTCTTAAGTGTGTTGTATATCATTGTAAGTAAAACAAATTGGGACCAATAGTGTAAGAATTGCTATAGATTCTCTATGAGATCTTACCAAGAACTTCCTACAGCACAATCATAGGTTGTACTTTGGTACTTTTGCATCAATCTTGTGCAATATGAGACAGTGGAGTAGCTGATAAATACTGTGATTGTGTGGTTCAGCTGCACTTGCGGTTTGCCCGGTTAGAAGGTCCGCACCGTTGGAAGTACTCTCCTCAATTGAACGGAAAAAAGACTATGAAAAGTCAAATATCATTTCATTTGAAAAGTCAAATCGAGGACTCTGCAATCAGGGCAAGATACGACTTTGGCGTAGCTCCAGTGGCGGGAGTTTACTTTCCACAAGATAAAAACGCTTTCTCGAGGGTATGATACTTTAGCTACGCACAGTGAATATTTTCAAATCTTCTTATTCCCAAAGATACTTGTAGATAGGGTGTTTGTTTCAGTGGGTTGAGGATCTTTTGCAACGATTAACATCAGATCCTGTCACACAAAGATATTTCTCTCAAATCTCAGATCGAGTCTAACTTACATCAAAGTTCACTGAGGCTCTCATCATTTTGGAAACCGGGTCAATTGGGCACGTTTTAGGAGTTTAGCAACAAACAATAACGAGTTATCAATGAAGCAGACCCAAAATGAATAACAAAAAACCAATACATGTATATTTTTTTTTAGAAACGATTGACAGTTGAGAGAAGATGAAAACTGTTTTACAAAAAATAATAAAGACAAGGAGTGTACGTGAAGAAGTTGATAAGGCAGTTTGAACAAGATATTCATCGAGAGAGAAATTGATTACAATTTTTATCATCCTGGTGCATTCCTTCACCACCAGGACATTCGGCGTAGTCATCTTGCTCTTCCTTAAGTGAACGAGCAAAGACGGAAGGATCCGCTAATTCTCATGTCCAAAGATCATAGACATGGAGGAATAGAGAAAATGAGAGGATGTGAAATAGTCAAGATCAAACTATACATGATGAAGAAATGGAAAGAAATCAGTACACAACTCATAAGAATGAAAGGAAAGAAGTGCTCACCTCAATCCAATGGAACAAAGCCCAAGATGTTTTCATCTACATTCACCGCACAAAATTGAGCTGTGATTGAAATCGAGCAAAATCAAACAAATCAGTAAATGATCAAATGAGAAGAGGAAGGGAAAGACAAGGAGAAGGAGAAGGAGAAGGAGAAGGAGAAGGAGACATACATGGTGAAGAGGTAGTGTCTGAGAGGTCGAATAGAACAAAGGGCCTCGATACTTCGACTTCAGATGATTCAGAGACCTCGAATAATTGAATCGGGGGTACATATTGTCTAAGACGAGGCTCATAGATAGTACGAAGAAAGTCGGGGTCCTGCATGGGAAAAGGTGGTGGTAAGTTGGTCAAAGGAGGTTCAGTAGGACGAGTAACGTTAATCAAAGGAGCCCATAAACAAGCGATAGGTGGAGAGATGGCAGGATAAAATCGATGGAGAGGAATGTCGAGATCTTGGTTACGAGAGCGACGATCCATCATCCAGGATAAGAAATCGATGAAGGAAGAGTAGAGAAAGTAGAAGAGAGGAAAGGTGAAGGTGGTAAAGATAATGTCGAAGACAAAGACGGTGAAGAAGTTGGTGACAGGATGAAGTTCGAGATGACCAAAGTTTAATAAGGCGGCGTGAAGACAGAAGGCAACGACCAAATAGAATGGAAAAGCGAGAAGACTATCACGAAAGGAAATCTTTTTAAACTGGGGAAGAGACATTTTTGAAATCGGAGAAGTTTGTTAAGTGAGATTGGAAGTGAAAGGTAAAGAAAAGTGAAAGGGGGATTGGAGGAATGGAATCGGAAGCTGGTGGTACGGATGATGAAGTGAAATTCGGATCGCTCTGAAAGATGAGCGGTATTTATATGGCTCAGATACTGAGTTGCCGGATCAGCTTCAACGCGCGTCACGTGAGTCATTATTTTTGTTTGGATCATAAAGCTTATATACACGCAAAGAAATACATATGTACTGATTGACGCGAGCTGATCAGTCTGTGTTGGATAGAAAGATAATAATGTGATAAAGGTGATATAGTTGCCCCTTCTCGACCTCAATTGTTGATACCCACCTCCAGCTTGCGTCAATCCACTCTATTGATACATTTTGATAATTCAAACTATTTGAGTCCAGAGGTTGAAAAACACGCTTCCCTCAAGACCGAATGGATTATTTAACCAACGTGTCCATTCACTAATTTGGATTGTGGAGCTTTCATAATACTCCCATGACGATTGACCGAGCGTTCTAGTACTACCTGCCTCTGTCTGCAGCTGGGACCTTTTTTCTGGCGAATCTTTCAAGGGAAGACATGCAAAGAGATATTTCTCTCTTCTCAATCTTTAAACTCAACTCGTGTTCTGATCGTCAAAATCATCTCCTATTCTCACAGGTCCGATAGCTTTTCATTGATTTCTCAAAGAGCTGGATAAATGTCAGGTAGCTAGGCTAAAAATCTATTTTGCTTCTCATTTTTCAATGCTCCTCTTTCATATCGTAGATCGCGCTTCATTCAGCTTCATATCCACAAGGAGATTCACTGAATAGTTCAAAATCCGAAGATTGCGCCAAAAACACCATACCTTTTACTTCAGCAAAGCTTAAGCATCTCAGCAGTAAATGGTATCCATCCGGGATCCGCAATGCTTGATCACTATAACTCTCTCTATTTTTTTGATAAAACAAATGATGAAAAATCAACCATATAGGTGAGGAACTGTGCATGTGTCGCTCTTGGATCTGCCGACTTGGTCAGATGGGTGGCCCTCAAGTATTCCATGGTAACAAGTAGTTGGGATTGAGAGGGGCAAGGAGTCATTCATTAAAGTATAAAAATCAATAGCCCTCGCTTCAACTGAAACTTATTCTTTACAATTGGTTTGTATATGATTATCGGTCAGACTTATCATTCAAGACCACATTACAAAAACAACAGGTGCGGAGGCAGGAGGGAATTTGCTTATATATATATATATACAAAGTTCATATCCAAGTTTCACAACACGATTAAATTCCCTACATTCACTATCCCCTCTTCTCAGCCAGAGAAGCTTTCCATCATCGATTGGAGTTGTCATATGCTTTTCAAAACGGAGCGTTCCATCGTAACACTAAGCAGCTAGGTAGGAATACCCGGAGATATCTGTTCAAGTTACAACTGTGTCGTATCTTCATCCCATCAGGAACCCATAAGAGATAATCTTATCTATAAGCACTGGAAAAGATTCAGAGGTCCTGAACATTAGATTTTTCCCCTGGGTTTCTGTCATGTAGCGAGTCTTCATATACCAATTGGTTATTTTAGATGATTTTTTTTGACACAAGATGTTATTCATCGGATCTGCAAAATTACTCGACAAGAAATGTACTCAAAGCCTTTCTTGACAACTTAAGACTTTCTTTTCAAAATTCTTGGCTTTAGTAGTCTGATATTGCCTTTCGGAGAACAAAATGGTAAAGTTTTAAAACCTTAGTCTTAGTTTGAAGGTCTACATTGAACAAAAACTGGGAAAAACATTTATGTCTTAAAAGAGTTTCCCATTATTTTTGGAGAAATTTACGATTTGTGGGATCTTCTGAGGTTCTGAGTCGGAGTTTCTTGTGGCATTTCTGGTGGTGCAAAATCTGTTTATATGCTCAAAGCCAATCAACTGCAATGGATCGATTTGATCTCAGAGTCCAGTCCGGTATTTTGTATTTATACCAAACTTCCAAACTGAGACTGGAGGAGGAAGTTCTGAATTGTGTATGTCTTAAACATCATGGGTTCTTCTGAGTTTCTGAGTGGGAGTTTCTTGTGGCAGTTTTGGTGGTGTAAACAAGCGTTTATATCCTCAAAGCTAGTCAATTTCAATGTATCGATTTGATCTCAGAGTCCAGTCCGGTATCTCGCATTCATACCAAACCACAAACCGAGACTGGAAGAGGAAGTTCTTTGGACTCATTCTGCTTCAGCTTTACTTGAAGTTGCACTCTTCAGTGTACTGAATACGATGTTGATGAAGTCGTATGATTTCTACAGGCAGCTCAGCGAGTCTAGTAACAAAAATTGACTTTTGTTGATCAGACTCACGTCGAGTCATGATAATTGAAATCAATGTGATCTTCTCATCTCAAGAACTCCAAAAAGAAGGCAAGATATTTCAAAGCTTCAAGATCTGCCTTGATCCGGAATGGTCATATATTGTATTTTGGCACAGCTCAGTTATGCATCAAAGAAGTATAAGTCTCGTGGGATTAACAATCCTAGTGATCATTGCTTGTAAGGAATTGTTCGGTTTGAAGTGGCTGGTTTGTGAGTTTCGACTGGAATATCTCGTACTGAGTCTCTCGTTCTCCGAGATATCTGCATTATATCCGATTCACAGATGATTGAACAGCCCTACGCTAGATGAGTAGGACAATGATTTGTTTGTTGCCCTCTCTCATCGACAAGGTCTACACGAGTCTAAGAGGAAGTAAAGGATTTTCCGCCCAGGTGTCCGATCACACGGAGTCCAAATTCTGTTTGCTATTATCTCGGAGCTTTCTTCTTCTTGATGCGTATTCAGGCGTAGTTATCACACGGAAACAATCCAATGTGTGATCAAGAGTAGTTTGAATGAATCAAAAGTTGATTGATAGCCTTAAGCTGAACGCGTCACAGCTCTTTATCAAAATCCTTCCATTTTCTCAGAAACACATGACAGGTACGTAGGTCATTGAAGATGGGTAATGATATGTTTTGCTATAAGACTGCATGGATTGAGTCCACTCGAGATGATATATGGATTGTTCAAATGAGAGATATAGTGTAAGAAGTTCGTTCAACTTGAGAAGAACTCCTGAAACTAAAATACCAAAAGGGTGAATGGATCCAGATGAATTGTTAAAATTTGAATGTTTGTTGATTGAGTATTTAACCCCTTAACGTCGACTGTCAGTCTTCATGAGTAAGTAAGTAGTACTTAAGCTTTTGATTACCTTTCATATTTGGGTCAAGAGGGTTGGAGACAAACGACAGGGAAGAGTCAAGGAAATACCAGCTCAGCAGTCAAAGTAGCACTTCCTCAAACCAATCAATCAATCAAGTACGATGCCAAAATCAAATCAAACCAATTCACTCAAACCTGGTTTCTCAACTGGTGGTTCATTTCAAGCTTGTAAGTCGATAGACCCATTCAACTCATCGTTCCATAATAAATATACTGACCCAATCTCTTTCATGGTGAGTTTAGTGGCAGTCCAATCAATCGAATCAGATTCAGAAAGCGATTCACAAACCACTCCGAACATTCCATCACATCGAACACCTTCTACTGCCATCTCAACTTCAACTAAAAAGGGACGCGCCAAACAACGTGCTCGTGATCGAGCTCGTAAATCGGCTGGTACCTCTACTTTATCTGATCCAACTGAATGTAAGTCAACCCTGTATCACCTTTTTGTTCTTCACAATTCTACTCACTCACACACACACCTATCTCAATCGAACATCACTAAACTTCTCGATCGACTTGTCAATCAATACAGTCCGGAACAATCCCAGTCTTGATAGGATCATTCATTCATTCGATCTCACCAGAAGACCTAGAAATCATCAAAACCGGTTTCATTGTTTTTAATTCAAATGGAAAGATCATTGGGATCGAAAAAGAAAACTTAACAAATCAAGAATGCAATCGAAAAAGTGATGTGATTCAATGTTTATTGAAAAAGAAATGGATTCAAGCAGAAGATGTTGATCGATTGTGGTTGATTAGATTGAGAAATGGAGAGTTTCTTTTACTTGGCTTTATTGATACTCATACTCGTGAGTTCTTGATTTTTTCATGGGGTTTGGAAAGGTTTGCTTGGATGTTTAATGAGATCTTTATGAGGTTTTTAGATACTGTACAGTACACGAACGTAGCAGTTGGACAACAATACGAATGTGAGCACCCAATCCGAAACCTTTCATACCCAATCAAAGACTCAAGACTCATTGATTTCCAACTTAAAAATTTGTTTGATGACGGTTTAGTACTTGATTGGCTTAAGAATGTAACCTTTTTAGAAGAAACAAAGTATTTGTCTAAGGGTTATTCACAAAGGATTTTTGAAAAAGTTGTCAAGAGATTATTGAATTCAGGTACAACTACTTGTTGTTATTTTAGTTCGATACATCTTTCGGCTTCTAAAGTTTCAAGTCAAGTTTGTTTTAATGCTGGTCCACGTGCATTTATTGGAAAATGTAATGTGAGTTGAACCGCGAAAAACCCAGAAAGATTGTTTTTTTTGCTCCAAGGATGATGGTTGATTTGATATTTTGTTTTTTGGTGGTTGTAGATGGATCGGAATGAAACATCTGAAAGTTATAAGCAAAATTTGGTGGAGGAATCTATAAAAGATACCATTGGACTTATTGACTATATTCGACAAAACTGTGTTCCTGAACTTGAAAAGGCTCATAGTACCATTATTGTAAGTAAAACAAATTGGGACCAATAGTGTAAGAATTGCTATAGATTCTCTATGACGTCTTACCAAGAACTTCCTACAGCACAATCAAAGGTTGTACTGTACTTTGGTACTTTTGCATAAATCTTGTGCACCTATGAGACAGCGGAGTAGCTGATAAATATTGTGATTGCGTGGTCCAGCTGCAGTTGCGGTTTGCCCTGTTAGAAGGTCCGCACCGTTGGAAGTACTCTCCTCAATTGAACGGAAAAAAGACTATGAAAAGTCAAATGTCATCTAATTTGAAGACTTGAATTTAGAAGTCTGGAATGAGGGCAAGCCGGCGGGAGTTTACATTCCAGAAGATAAAGACACTTTCTTGAGTATATGATACTCTAGCATACCCACATTCAATAGCTCCAATCCTTCTCCTCTCTAAAAATAATTGTAGAAAGGGTGATTGTATCAGTGTTGATGAAGAAGGTTAGTAGATCTTCTTTCAAGATGAAATGTTGAACTTGAGAGGTTTAGAGGAAAAGCTGATCTTGTTTAAATCTGTGTTTTGGTTAGGTATGATGAGTCGTGGAGCAATTTTAGGATGGGTCACTAATAGATCATGTAGATTAAGAATTAGAGAAAGTTCATTGACATTTGCTTCTTAGAGAAAAAAGTCATTTTTTATGAAGTACATTCCTTGCCAGGTTTTTGAGAGAGATTGCAAGTTTTTTTATTCAATGTTTACTTCGGAGTTTAGAAGAATAATCATTTTCAAAACTCATTCTATTATTGTTACTTATGATTTCCAAATGTCTTTGGTTGTTGATAAAAATCATTGGAAAACCAGTTGTACTTTGTCAAGAAATTTCTACTGAAACTGATGAATATTCTTTATTGTCTCAACTCATGCTTTTTACATTTATATATATACAAATCTTTCTATCAAAGAAATCAAAAAGAGATATTGGTATGATGCTTGTCAAGTGATCAAGATGTCCATCATTCGATGTGCCATAAATTTCCAACACCGTTAGTGACCAACACCACACCGCCAACATATTTACCTCGGATTGGAAAATCCGAGGTATTATCGGATTACCAACCTCCGACAGAAGCTGTCCGAGGTTTTGATCCGAGGCAACTCCCAGCGCAGAAGATTACCTCGGACAAAAACCTCGGACAGACCTTGTCCGAGGTTTTACCTCCGATGATGCCTCGGATTCCGCAACCCGAGGCATCTATGTTGGCAGTGCCACGATCAATGATTTTTCTTAGTATAATATCCTCCCATAGATCCATTTTGTCGTCGGACCAGTCGATCTTGTACAGGTCTTTGTTTTCGAAGCTAATGAATTTCAAAAAAGAAAAAGATCTGATTGGAAAAAACGATGATATAGGATCCAAGAAGGATTCGAATCAAACTTACAGGAGTGAAATCTTGAGGTTCTGATTGACTCGAAGGTAAATCATTCAATGGTCTTGGTCCTTCTTCTATGGTTCTTCCTGCTTCATTTTGTACTTTGTTGTCACATGGAATTCCATTATAAGCTCCAAACATCATTGTGATGAGTAAAGCAAGAGTCATGAAACGAGGTGAAAGATAAGATAACATATTTTTTGGTAGTTATGAAAGAGATTAAAGGACTCCTTGTATGATTGGTAAACAAAAAGTTGAAATAAATGGGTTGATTTGGAAAACAAATATGTTCAAATTTAATGATCTCGAATCAAAATTGATATACAGATATACACGAGGCAATGATATAAATGGAAGCTAGAATGAGTTTCGTTGGAGTGTAGGAAGAAAAGTTGGTAATGAAATAGAAGGGAATTTATAGAAGAAGCTCTACTCTGAATGCTTAAAGGAAAGACCAAATTCATAAGAAGATGGGCGCGGCTTTCTGCAGTCTTTTAGAGATAACACTTGCTATGCGGAATTGGTCTGTGAACACTGCTACTTGCCACGTCCATCCCTCCCTGTTTAACAATAAGTCCAAGGCGGAAGGATACCGTCAGAGAAAGGTTTTAATGCAAATTACCTGGCAAATAAATTTGTTCAACAAACTTACGAAGTCAAAACTCCGGCATGAGTACGGTACAAGCTGATGCCAAGGAGAACGGAGGGGTTGATATGATGAATGCGCGCTTTGACTGCACTTGGAAAAGGTGAAGCATGAGGAAATGTTGCATATCACAAAATTATCAGACGTACTAATCATATCACGGTGTCAGATTTTTGAGCTTGTTTCAAGAAGGCTTGGCCTCGATACGTTTCTTCTAGTTATTTCAAAGTCCAAAATCAATTCACAAAAGATGATGAAAATCTGATAATAATGATAATTTCAACAGGCGTATACTTATGGCCCTCAGGCTCTGCTTCAGGTAGTTTGAAAGCTGTCCAAAAAACAAGGAGGGAAACATCTATGTTTCTATCTGTGTACAGCTAGGGCTTTGATTTTGGACTTGCGATCATGATCTCACCAGATTGTTTGGAAAGATACTTAAAGGGAATGGCGATATACATTACACAATAACAACTCTTTCAACAAACCATCAGCGCATGAATACATCAAATTGTATGTCCAAGAAATCTGAAGATGGATATCAACCTATATATTTTACAAAACTTTGCCTACTACATAAACTAAACACGAATGTATGCTTGGGATTTGTCTGAGGTCAGTTTCGTCCTCGATCATTGAGCCTATGTAGACGAGTCATGTAATGTGATCCAGCTGAGTACAACCTTCTCGCGCGCTTTGGTAGCATTCATGGTCAATATGTTTAATGTTTTGGCAATGTTTCACCATGTTGACTATGCTCAATGGGTGATGTCTATCGTAGTTCCTTGATCCGTAAGCCAAGAAATGTTCCATGTGTCCAAGTGATCGATTCCAATACCAAAGGATCATACCACTCCAGAGTCTCCAGTGACCAAGATAGTATAGCGAATAGGACGACGGACACGTCAGTTCTCTCTCCAAGGAGTTGGCTTCCACACAGATGATGATGTGGAAGCTTCGGCCGAGGAGGAGAGACTACATCTACTAGAACTGTACAACGATCACGTGACTGGCTGAGGCGCAGTCGTGCACGCACACACCTCTCTACAACACCCCCCCCACGACAAGCCTCAGACAACCTCTCCCGAACAACATAAACAACAAAAAAATGAAATAATAAAAACAAAAAAATAAGAAATTTAAGAAAAAAAACATGAATCATTCCGTCAACATTAAATTCTTCCTTCCAGCTGCGAAGAGCATAGGTCCTAATGCTTTTGTAAGTATATCCGCCTTTTGATGCTTTGATTCTACCCAATGCAAAGTCACTGTGCCCTTAAATAATTGTTCATTCACATAGTAAAACTCCCTATCCGTGTGCCTTGTTCGTTTATTTGATGAATTATCTTTTGAAACGTGAATCGCCGCAGTATTGTCACAAAACATCTTTACCGGTCCCATTGCACCCAACACCTCTCCTACTAAATTTCTCAACCAAACTGCCTCCCTCGCCGCTGTTCCCAAAGCCATATACTCCGCGTGACAAGTCGACGTTGCTACACACCCTTGACGTTTGGAACTCCAAGCTAAAGGACATCCTAGAAAAAATGTTGTGAATCCATGGACAGATTTTGAATATTCTCCACCCCAGTTTGCGTCGACATAAGTATGCAAACCTGTCTTGACTTCCCCCATTAAAGGCTTCAAATGTAATTTGATACAACCGGTAGTCTTTAGATAACGCAGAACATTTTGGATTGCTGTCCAGTGTTGAGTTGTTGGCCGAGCCAAAAATCTTGCCAAAAAATTAGTTGCATACGTCAAATCAGGTCTTGTTCCTACAGCAAGATAGTTCAAACTGCCAATCACCGATAAGAACCTTGTTTTGTCGATATCTTCTTCTTCTTCCACTGGCGACGTCGGCAAGGCTGAAGGGTTTAACGGCGTGGACGCTTTACCCGGTGTCTCCAGAAACGAGTTGATGATCTTGTTCGTGAGACCCTCCTGCGAAAGTTGAAAGGATCCATCCTCGAGCCTCTTCACATCAATTCCGATTATGCAATCTAAAGTCTCAGACCATCTAATTTTCAGATCCTCCGTCAAAGCCTTTGCAACCTCTCTTAATAACTCTACACTGTTACCCGTCACCGCTCCATCGTCAACATGAGCCCAGATTATACAGATTCCATCACCCCTCTTACAGAAATACAATGACTGATCGAACTGACAAGGATTGAAACCTAACTTTCTCAAAATCTTCTCGAAGTGCTTCCACCAACAACGTGCACCCTGCTTCGTCCCATAGAGATCCTTCACCGCTTCTAAAATCTTGTTTGCCTTTCTAGCTTCCTCCATAGCACCCGGTGGTAATTTGAAATAGACCTTTCCTGTGATGTCGCTGTGTAAGTATGCTGCCGTCACGTCAAACGAATGTACCTCCCACCCCATTCTCGCTGCTAGAACTAAGAGGAAACGTAGAGATGCCATGCACGCGGTCGGCGCGAAAGTTTCATCGTAGTCGATGCCTTCTTTTTGAGAAAAACCTTGAGCTACAAGCCGTGCTTTAAATTTTATTGGTGTTCCGTTTGAGTCCAGTTGCTTATGTTTGTAAACCCATTTCAGGCCTAGTGCATTGACGTTATCAGGCTTATCAACAATTTTCCATACTCCCATCTCCTCCATTGCATTCAGTTCAGCCTCCATTGCCTTGTTCCACTCTCTTGAAAATTCATCTTTCATCGCAGCTGAGTACGTCAATGGTTCTTTGATGCCAGCTGACAGGTCTACCCTGCTTGTTAGAGATTCGACTAGAGCGTCTTCCGCTTGTGCTTTCATTTCACCTGAAAAGTCACCGAGTCGTAAGGCGTTGACGATAAATTCCAAACCTCCCTTCTTTGGTGGTAGATCTAGTATTCTGTTGAGGGATGTCGAAGAAGTTGGCGTGGTCGGGGTATTTTCGATAGTGGGATTAGAGAATTTATCCTCGTAAGGGAACGTCGCTATACCAGTCTTCAGCAGAACCTTTGATCCAGCATCATAAAACACCCACCCCTTACTACCCTCAAGGTAACCAACCATAACACATTTTCTACCTCTCTCATCCAACTTCCCTTGTCTTTGAGCGTCGTGTTGATGAACAA